AGCAGCTTCTGCTGCTCTTGTCGAGCGTATGAGGCAAGCGAAGCAGTCCTTCGCTGAAGCCCTCCACTTCTTATCCAATCCAATCCACAACCTCCCGCCTGTAGACGAGTTAGTTGATGCCTCCCTAACAAATCCTTTACAGTGGGAACCTGAACTCCAGCGCGGCGCAACACAAACATTAGAATCATTCCAAGAACAGCAAGTAGCATTAAACCTTGGGATGCGAGCTATAGATGATTACGCATCCGGTCAAAAGTCATTTGTACCCGCCCCTATATTGCTTGGTCCTCCAGGAAGCGGTAAATCGTTCGTAACAGCGCATTGGGGTGCTTATGCTCTCGCAAAAGGTCTCAGTGCTATAGTTACCAGTGTGGCTAGTGAGCGTGCAGCCGCTCTTGGAGGAGAGCATATTCACCTCATATTCAACATACCAGTCGCTCAATCTCTGTCGTCTCGAATTTTAGCCGAGAAAGCGTTGACACGACTAGCTCGGGATCCAGTAAAGATGAAGTGGCTGAAATCCATACGCGTGTTTATTCATGAGGAGATAGGTACTGAAGGGGCAGAGCTGCTTGATGTCCAAAACAAAATTTTACAGTTTCTTCACAACTCTCCGCTACCGTTTGGCGGAGTGCTTCTTATGGGAAGTGGTGACCCAAACCAGTTGCCTCCTATAAAACAAACTCTTCTGTGGACTAGTCCCTCAATTATTACAACGACCAGGCTTTATATCCTGAAAAAATTTGTTCGTTCAGCTACCGATGAGGAACTTCAAGAAGTTCTTACTCTGTTCCAGAAGCTTCAACCTACGGAAGCTGATATTCAACGTATTCAGTACTTGATACGTGAACGATGCAATTTCCGTTCAAACTGGGATTCTGTTCCTACTCAAGCATTACAAATTTTCGGTCACCGTGAAGCAGAGCGTGACGCCGTTGAGCGACAACTAAACATAGTTAAGCAGGATAACACAATAGAGAAGGTAGTGTCGAACTCGGTAGACCAATATACTGTAGATGGGGGACACGTGTGGGTTTTAGTCAATCAGGACAGAGTTGTCAAGCAGATCAATCATAAGCTCCAAGCTCCCCAAAGTATCACTCTTTTCATCGGAGCCGTTATGCGATTCACTTGTAATGATAATTCGCCAAGGCGCGCATATCACCAGAGCCAATTGTGTGTTGTGCGAACATTGCCTGTTGGGAATGCGGCTATTGTAGTTAGGGTCGCTCCACCTGGTAGACGCGAAATTCCTGCTACTGAGCAGGAATTTATAGACAACGGATGGCAGGAACTAACTATTTCGCGGATGTTCACCATTCCACAACGTCTGGAGGGGTCCATGTCCGTCAGAAGAGAACAATATCCTATTAGGCATTATATAGCATCGACCATTCATAAAGTTATGGGCGACACACTGGGGATGGTAGCAACTCAAATTTCTGATAAAAGAGCCAAGTATAAGTTGTGGCTTAAATCCCAAATATACGTAATAATTTCTCGTGTAGGTCAGTTGAGTAATATTTATTTTGTTGGTAGTATAGAAGAGACCATGAGTGCGATTAGGAACCTCTTGACCCAATCAACACAATGGGATGCGTACGTTCGACACGTGGTAGGGATTTTAACTGGAGCACCTGCTGCTGGCGCTCCAGTCATACATTTCAACACCCGTCCATTTCGACCCAGGGACACTCCTATTCCTCCAGAGAGCGCTAGCTATGTATACGTAGTAGTTTCTTCCACAAACACCACAGTATCGTACATAGGCCAAACAACCAACTTACGAAACCGTCTAAACGAACACAATAATGGCTCAATCGGCGGAGGTGCTCGATTTACATCGCTTGCACAGTTTTGGCCTTGGGGATTATTCCTGTACGTCACTGGCTTCGACTTGAGTATAAGCAAGGAGCAGAACCGTGCCGACAGAGAGCGGGTAGAGTTCACCTGGGATCATGTGTCTCGGCAGCTCCATGGTGATCATCCCACTCCTTTACAGATCCTAGACACTTGGCCATTCGTATTTGAGAACCATTTGCGGCAACAATTCCCGGATCTCGTTCTCGTTCAATGCGCTGATTTATGATACTAATCCCTATGCTATGAAACTTTTCGTTGCCATGATATTTTCAAAATAGCATTTTGTATAATACTGTGTAACAAAGAAATAGACTATTCTCCACAATCTAGAACCGTACCTTCACGTGAACGTGACACAAGAATTCACGTGAATCTTCCGTTTCACGTGTACATGACAATGATGGCGCACAAGATGTTTTCATCCTTCCGCGCTTTTGTAGGTATGTGTCTCGTCAGCCATTGTGATTAGATTTTCTGCAAGAGCTGGCTGGGCTCACTGTGATTACTTCATCTAAATTGTATAGTGAAAGCATGTCTGCGTTGGGGTTGCGGCATTATACTCTGTGCGAGACCCTTTTTCTGGTCCAACACTGAGTAACTCTCGAAGTGTTCTCAAATTCGTGAGGTTTCTCATCCCGAAGGGTTACTCGCAACAAACAATATCTTCGCATCCAGCGCTTCGATGAGTGCCATCATTGAGAACTTTTCTACAACCCTTCGGGGCTTATTCGTTTCACTTTGGAACGCATAGGGCATCTCCTTCGCATATTTCGACTCCTGCACTAATCGCACGCCTGAACAGTCTGTCATCGCATATTTTACCAAATAGAACTAGCGCTGAACTAGACTAATTTTCCTTTTCTATAGCATCAGGTACAGTTGCTAAAAGACCGATCCTCGTGCTGGTTGCTGCTCGCGAGAGACATATGTTATCATTATTGCATTACATGTTTCTTTAATCAACTATTCTTATCATTCCCCGTTCCTCATCAACATAATTGTATCCTCAAATTTATCCTTATTGACATCTGTAATAGAAGCCTCTCATGAATACTTGATGTCGGATATCATTCTTATCAAGTGTGTGGAATTCTCGAGTCTTGAAGAGGACGCTTGTGCTGACACACTGTTAGGGATAAAGTGTCTTGGTCGTTGAGCACGTCCCACAGTTGTGATAGCTGAATCTGTCAGGAGGGGAGGAAACACCTTGACTGCGTGATTCTGATGGATTGTATTATGAGGGGTGGTATATTACTTGTCGTTTACTGTTATCGCTATAATTAGAGGTAAGGCGCCGGAGGCCCAGGGGTCCCCGCAGAGCGGGGTGGCCGACGGTTAGTAATAATCAATGACGCAGAGGTAGTTTTTTATATTCGTGTAGCTGGTAATATTATACCATAATGGCAATAGCATTACATATTATTCATGTTAGTTTCAACAGTTACTAAATCTTGTTGAGTGAAAGTGGATATTCAATAAGTATGGGCAATGGTACAATGTACTCCATGGATTTCTTTTGATTGAGATCTCCTTGTCCAACTCATCATTAGCTCCCTAAAGTTTCGAGTTCTACTACTACTACTCCTACTACTACGAAACCTATTTACTTCTAACAGCCACCGTCTCTTCTACCACTATTATAGCGGCAGCAAGTACGTACAGTTGGGAAGGGACGCTTAGCTGTTTGAAATATTCTCATGCGAAATTACGCGTAGTCATCATTATAAATTATTATTCTCATAGCAGACTAACGCAACACATGTAGAATAATGATTACGTATCCATGCTTTTCAGATTAATGGCTGCCTTGCACACCAACTTCATCGTTGCTCAGCAACAAGCGGAGGCAATGGGCAACATATCCTTGACCGACGTCCCCATGGATGGCCTTCATAGGCGCTGCAAAGGGAAGAAGTTACGCGCCTTTCTACTATTGGTGAAAAATGGCAGTAACAGGAAGGCTGTCACTCTCAATCGCTACAACAACATGGCAAGGAACAACAGCAAAACATACATCAGCGAAGTGGGATACGATAAATTTGTATTAATGGTTGATGTTGAATCGTTCAATACTTTTTCCATAATTTGCCGTACCTCTTCTGACAGCACCCACTTACTTTACCATAGTAATTACACTTATGGTGCATTATTGGGGGTGGTGCAACCCCAAGGCGCTGGACAACTGAGTCGCGACAGTACAAGAGTTGTTGCTACTAGAGATTCTCTCATCCCGTTGGTACCCACGGTATCGCCATCCCGTCCATTAGACGCTGGCAATAGTATTTCTTACGGCTGTGGTCTCTATCACAACGTGAAGTCGGTCTTCATACTGAGGTGTGGTGTCGAGCCGTCCAAATGTAAAGGAGCATTATGTGATGGAAGGTTTGGTATCGACCAGGGCTGCTGCTGCGTTCGTGCTCCACGCGAAGATGGCTACGTTATATCTCTCAGTCTCGACACTGAGGAACCGGATCTCGCTGGGATATCATTCGAAATCACATCTAGGGTGTTAACCAGTTTATTCATCAATGAGAGAGTATTTGTGGTAATATGGTAAGAGTTCCTTCAGCACCTCAGTTGGGTCTTTTCAGATGAAAATCTCGGATATCAATCCAGCTGTACTCGCCGCTAGAGTCGACCAGATTGTTGAGCTCATAAATGCCAATGCTGGCTGGACGTTACTCATTTGGCAAAAGTCGTCTCGCTCGGAAGATGGTGTACTGAGACCGCCGAAATTTCACTTGGCTAAACTCGTTCCGAGTCACATGACAGACGAGATAAAGCAACAATGCTTGGATTTAAGGTATTCATCACTGCGTCATCTGTAATTAATTCGCAAGCACTGTTACTATAAATTGCGTGATATATACTCCCCTTTACTTTCAGATACAACGGAGAACCCGCGCCAGTTAATAATGATGTGCAAGGTGGTGCAAATCATCCGCCTGACGCGGCAAATAACGATGGTAAGTCATCAAGATGATTGATTAGTACTAATATTTATTCTGCAGATCACGGTTCTGGTGGTGGAAATTCTGCCGGTAATGCAAACGACACGTCTGTAGCACTCTCAAATGATGATACCCATAATGATACCCATAATGACGGCAATCAGCCTCGTCGTAGCGCCAACAACAATGTCGGAAATGCATCCAGAGCGGGTAGGGTGATTCATTTAGTCCGGAAAAGTCATTTTTTCCTGTACAGGTCAGAATTATCCTGCAGCCCACGTTCCATTCGCCGGCTCGGTGCGGAATAGTCTTAGCTTATCATAAAATCATGATGTTTTTCAGGTGTTTGACCCACGGAGACGACTTCCCCAAAATAACGCCCGAGATGGCTCCGGAAATAATGCGGATCAACATAGATCCGAAGAGAGCGTTGTATCGACAGACTGAGTATCGACTAGAGCAATTTTGCAACCATGACTTTTGAATGCTAATGAGAATCGAGTGAGACAAGTGTAATTTTCGTACTCCACACAAGATCGTAACTATGCTTTCCTAGTTTATGTATGTTTGGGTTATCGCCGATAACTTATCGGTAGTCCTATTCGTCAATTTTGTTGCTCTCTCGCTCACCAGTTGGACATACTGAGCATGTGTGACTTTATTATGAATACTCCTGAACCCATGATATGTCTGTTTCTGATCTGTTATACTACGGTTTTGTTACTTAGCAGTGAAGTAAGTTTTCCATTCAATGGTCGTTTTCTTGCAATTCCTGCCAAGCGTATTGGCACAACTGGTGACTATCAAAAGGGAGCAGTTCGCACAGTTGAGACGGACGTGTAAAGTTTACACTGTAAACTGCTCACAATATGTAATCGAGGAACGAGATTCAAACTTTGCTTTTTATCCCACGTTCAGTGATCATTATTGAAACCCCGATTCAGCAATATGATCTATTTTTCATTATCCTCTGACATCTGCAAGGACGCGAATTGCCTTGTGCACTAATTAGTGGAGTGTACTTTTTTACCGTAGTTGTTAGGTGACGGTGCGAAGGAGCGGGGTCGTTTTCCGAAGAGTAGTTGACTAATGAGTTTCCGAGTTGGTGCTGGAAATATTTGGCTACTGAGATCATTAATTGATGGAAAGGAAGAATAGAGTAGAATGTCGACGGTTAAATTATTCTTACACATTGCATCAGGTTTTGGTCGTACTCAGATTTCATTCATCCGGTTGGAGAGTTTCTTTCGCTATCTTTCGTAAGTTACCAACTCCCCGTTTGCCCCGGTGGAAGCCGATAGTGGAACAATAGGAACATTGTTCTTGCCTCAGGATTCGGATATTATATGGATCGTCACGGGGTCATTAACAAAGCTGAGGAACACACGAATGGTAGATTTGGGTAATCGAAGGTGATATAGGGGATAAAACGTTGGAGAGAGGGTTTAGGATTATCTCGATCAGAGATATGCTCCGTGATTGATTAGCACACACTGTTCCCACGTAGAGTTGAGCGCCGAATTCTTTCATTATTGTAATGCGTAGTGTGATAAAGACGTTGCAACGGAGTTGTCAAATAGTGAATACGACGACTTGTTCGCAGCGTTAGTAATGTTTATTATATTGCACCCAATATAGATTATCAGTTTAGTGGTTCAGTTCATTTTCGATGTTAAACCGCGTTAGTTAGTCATGTAATTACTGATTACTAATCGTCTGCTTCTTCCAGAGCAGAATACGTAGATAGGCATCATCGAACGAATTGATCAGTAGAATATTCACATACTCGTGACCAGTACATTTTCCCGGTCGGTCTCAGAGTGCAATCATATATAACAAGTCTGTCATAGTCGAGTGGTTAGTGCGTCAGTATGTTATGCAGGCGATCCACGTTCGAATCTTCAATTCGTATTTTTAACATAATTATATTCACTCTGTATATCCACGGCAGTTACTAATCAAGTAGAGTACGAATTAGTGTAGTGGTAAGCGCCCAAATTCCCTTCCAGCAGGTCGGAGGTTCGAATCCCACCGGGTTCGTGGGGTTCCGCGCTTTAGCAGGATTCACGGACCTCCTCACACCGGGGACCCAAGAATCTAGTGGAGACCGCCCAGCTATCGATCCCGTGATCGATAGCAAAGCGTCGGCTCAACAGCGAGTCAGTAGTAATGTCGGGCTCACATCGTCACGATATAGGAGTGACGAGTGGGCCGACGACTACTTGTGACTCTTACTCAGCACAGGAGGCCAACCCATCAGTTGAATCACCCGCGGTGACCATCCGCCAGTGTTTACAGTTTTTCATGTGAAGGTCTCCCCTCATGTACGCCAATTTCTCCCGAAGAGAGTCCTCTACGGGCTAGCAACTGGCACCGCAGGTGACAGGATCAACCAGCACACCGCTAGGTGGAGGAAATTTTTTTTTCGCGTTACTTTTTTCGGGCGAGCGGGGAGGGACCCGCGCGCCTATATGAGCAATTTTACTCACAGCAAAATCACACCCTTTTGGAGCCGATTTCGAAACTGAGCCTCAGAACCGTCTTGAAAGTGTTATCAATCGACTCGGTTGGTCCTTCTGAGCACAATGGTGCTACTCTCGGGTCAGTTTATAGATTTCCTGACGAGTAATTGGGGATTAAAGATTTTTGTTCATAGTGACCTCGTCATTTAGGTACGGTAGTGCTTGTCAGTTGATCTGGCGCAGTGGTAAGGGCGCGCGCTCTCCACCGGAAGGTACCGGGTTCGAGTCCCGGGGAGGGACAAGTTGTCTCGTGACCAGTTAATATACTATATGATATAGTTATGTTTTATATAAACAATTTCGTGGCGCGTGAGAAGTATATGCAACCAGTAGTACCATTATTCCACTTGTATGTATATAGTCTGTGGGTGTTTACGAGTTGGGTGGTAGTGTTGAGAGTGAGTTGATGTTGGATACAGAACGAGGGGGTCGAGTGTAGTTTCGAGGAATGTACTGTAGGAATCATCAGGTTAAAGTGGGTATTAGCAGTCATGGCTGTCCTGTTCAAAGTTTCCGGGTGTCATCATTACGTGTATCATGCACAGTGAGTATGGTCTAGCAGGTTAGGCTGCACGTTTTTCACTGCGTTGACCCAGGTTCGAATCCGGGTAAATGTAATATTCCTACATTGAGTAAGAGCCGAGATAGGCTGGCTGCACGGTGGCGTGAGTCAGTGAATGGGTTGAAACAGGGTCTCAAAGGCTTGGGCAGGCAGTGGACCACCATTCAGATTGTCTCATGGCTCTGAGATCGGAGCAGCCCATTACACAGCCGGAGCAGCCCATTTGTATGTCTGTGATAGTCTAGTGGTTAGTGGAGTTGACTCGCATGCGGATGATCCAGGTTCGATTCTCGGCAACAGACTACAAATATATTTTCCCTGGTCGACAGAAAAAAATACCAGTTAGTAGTATTGAATAAAGTGCGAGTTAGCGTAGTGGTAAGCGCCCAGGTCTGGGCGCAGGTGGTTGCAGGTTCGAATCCCACCGGGTCCGCGCAGGGTCCCCACTTTAGTGGGGTGCGCGGACCCCCTCCCATCGGGATACCTGAAATCCTGTGTGGTTAATCTAGAGAATGCGCGAAAGCGCAAGTGAATACGTAGATCTCGATTGTCCAGTATAGGGCGTCTAGTGGAGACCGCCCAGCTATCGATCCCGTGATCGATAGCAAAGCGTCGACTCAACAGCGAGTCAGTAGCAATGTCGGCCCAACATCGTCAAGATATACGAGTGACGAGTGGGCCGACACCTGGACTCTGTGACTCTGACTACTCAGCACCGGAAGCCAACTTTTCACTTGAATTCACCGCCGGTGAACCATCGGCCAGTGTTTACAGTATCTCATATGAAGGTCCCCAGTCATGTACGCCAATTTCTCCCGAAAGGGAGTCCTCTACGGGCTAGGTGGATGGCGCCTCTCCGCCCTTATCGACCGCCGCGCATGGGGGAGGGGTCCCCATATGCGCGATTATTTTTTACCTTTAGGAGCTCCCATCAAAAATGTGTAACTGCGGAGCCGATTTCGCGATCTAGCCTATAAATCCCACCAATTCCTTCACCAATCGACAGATCTTGATCTGCTGAACATCGCTGTGAAGCCGGATTTGGAATTTATAGGCTCAATAAAAAGTTATTCACGTTTTAGTTTTCATAGGTTCTATGTTAACCATGTTGCATAAGCAACTTCTTCTTCAACAGTCCTTCTAGTCTGGCAGGTTAAGGGCGTGCGCTGTCACTCGAGGCACCCAGGTTCGAATCCCGGTGGGATTATATTGCGGAATAAGGTTCAGCACTCGGAGTAGGGCAGCGACTTGGGTGGCACACCGGTCAGTAGTCTACCAGTGAGAAGGACAATGCCCTCTGGGCTCCGGGTAGGCTGTAAGTCCATGCTCAGTGCTACCAAGCAACACTCAACTTTCGGCTGGCGACTCGTACACTCTTAGTATATATAGTAAGTTTGGTATAATGGTTAATGTGATGGGTTGTCACTCGAGTGATCCAGGTTCGAATCTGAGTAACTACAATTTTTTATATCATCGAAGTAGGGATAGACCGTATATATTTGGTTTAGGGTTTAGTCTCATGGACAGTGTCATGCTCTGCCATGCGGTTGACCTACATCCGATCTCTGACAGTTAATACTCGTACTAAGTACTGGTGATAATGTGCAGCACAAGGTCTTCGACCGTGCTTTAACTAACCACCACGGTGTACGGTACTAGAGACTGGCGACCCTCGACGAAACACATTTATTTGAACGAGGTATTACTCTAGTGGTTATTCAGTCTGACTCTCATCCTGAAGGTCACAGGTTCGAACTACGACGGGTCCGTGCGGGGTCCCCACTTCAGTGGGGTGCACGGACCAATCAACCCTGCAGACTCGAACCCCCTCAAAGCAATGCAAAGTAACGCGCGAGAGCGCATCAGAGAGTAGAGTAGCACTCTAATCTACATCGGAAAACTCAGACCAGTGCGCACGGCTAACAGTGCGCACTCAAGCCAGTGGTACTGGCTCAACACCAAACTAATAGCACTAGTGGGTCACGAACAGAATGTGTCAGGCAGGATGATGCCGGACGACAACGTGAAGTCTGCCACAGCGTGGCAGGTAGTACACTAGCAACTGGCACCGCAGGTGACAGGATCAACCAGCACACCGCTAGGTGGATGTAGCTTTGCTTCTTTTTTTACAGGGGCGCGCGCGGGTAGGGCCCCGTAGGGCGCGCCATATAGAACCGGAGGAAAACACACTGCAAAAATGTATAATTGCGAGGCCTTTTTCGTTAATGACAGTAAGGATCACCCTGAAAATGGGTGCAATCGACTCCGCTCGTCGAGCTGAGTAATAATCTGAAAGAATTTTTTCAAAAAAAAGGCTCATTTACGAGAAATAACCGATTTAGTCTCGGACCAATATAATGACCTCGTCTATTTGACCACTTTGACACCAACCATCGGATT